ATCTTCCAGTTAAGTTGACAGTATCACCCAACTGCTAAGAAGAAGACTTTAGAAATAGCAGTGGAACAATACAACAGCATTTTGTCCCTGCAACGGCAACTGTCACCTCATGTCTTTCTTCTCTGTCTTCCAGGAGAGCATATCACAGGTCAGGCCGCTGGTCATCTGCCGGCCAAACGTTGAGAGGCAAGAGAGTCCAGTCGAAGTTCCCCGAGGCTCCAGACGTCTCATGTCTCTGTGGCCGCCTTCCCTCTCTCTCCCTTTCATCCTCCTCCTGTCGCTTCCTCTCTCCCTCTCCCTCGTCATCGTTATCGTGTCTTTCTTTCTACCGCGGGCCAGCGCTTGACCCAAAGGTTTATGCCATTCAAGAGCGTAGTTTTACTCCCCCAAGTTCCCCAAAAACTCCTACAATGTAGTTAGTGGACAGCACAAAATGGATACAAAAACATGGTGCTTTACACAGGATAGCCGACTAACGGAAAGATGTTTGAATAGACCCTCTACATTTTAGAGTGATGTTTTTTTTTCCCCCTTCCAGAATGTAACACATTTTGGAAGGATTTTAAACATCTTGACTTTTGGCTTTGTTAAACCCAGAAAGGCACAGGTTCAAATATTGGAGTTTTTTCATACTGCACTACTCTCTGACCATTTACATCCAGAATCTGTTCATGATGAAGACCAGATCAACTTGCTTTTGCCTCATAAAATATCACCTTCCGTCTCACTTTCTCACCCCCTCGTTGGTAAAAATAGACCTCTCGTCTCGCTCCTCATTCAATGAGCCACAGGAGTGATACGTGGGGGAAAGGTTTCAGGGCTGCGCAGGCACACTCGAAAAGGATTATTACAGGCTCAACAGGAAAATGCGAAAAAAAAAAGAAGCTAATGTTGCTGAACTATGCAATTCTTCTGTTCCTACCACGGCATCTTATCTGCTGTTAAAGAACGTCTCCCATTTCTTTGGCACTGTCGTCACCTTCTTGGCCCTTGCCCTTTTCTCTATTAGGAATACACTTTATGAATGCAGGGACTTCTAAAATAGAGCATGACCTGATTTAAAAAGCAATAGCAGGAGAGATCTGATATAGCTCCCACCGCGTACGATCCGCAGTACATCTGTTGGTTTAATGAATAGGGGACCTGTATTATTTTACTTGTTGCAGGCTGATTTAAAAGCAGGTGGATCCATATTTCTTCTTATTCTTCTTCTTCTTCTTCTTCTTCTTCCTCTTCTCTGCTGCACTTGTGTATGTTTTTAGTGAAATAAGCCGACCTCAAAATAAAATGAGCTTTACTGGAACTTAATTATGTTAAAGCAGTTTAAACACTTTAAACACAGTCTTACATTTGAGACATTACAGTCAAGTTTAATAATATTTATGTTGTGTTTATATTTATGAATTATTATCTAAGAAGAAACGTGAGCTTGACAATCAGTCATGCTACTTCTTCCAAGCTGAAATAATTGGGGAAAAAAAGCCATGCAGTGGCTTTTCTGTACTGTATGTGTGACGTTATGTTGTTTTTGTATGTTTTTGAAGTTACGATTAGTTCTTTCACACCCGACAGGAGTTGCTTGTAGAGAAACGTGCATTTCAAAATAAGATCAGGTTGTACTGTATGAGCCAATTTGATTCATGTTTATTAACTTTTTTCTCTTCCAGCCTGTTGTATTGCTTGTCTTAAATCTTACATTTTATTTCCATGTGTATGTTTCACCTCTGTTTCATGGGGCCATAGAAGTTCAATAAAACTAGATTGTATTTTGACAAAAAAAAAGCTTCCTTTTTTGTATATACTATCAGTATAAACAGCAACTTGTGGATTTGTGAGGTTTTATGTGCAGTGACTACTTCTCAGCCGGGCAGAGTGACTTCCTGCAGATGCCAAAGCTATAACATGATAATTAGTGAGTTTTAGGGCCTGTCCTCACGAACAGCGGCCTCACCCAATACGATGTTGTTTCGAAAAAAATCTCTGAAAACACGGCGTCGTTTCCAGAAATATCTTCGTCCACATGGATTCACTGAAACGACCCACAATGCTGTAGTACATATGCCAGGCCTGTATGTGGCGCTGTGACGCCGCCACACCAATACACTAAAACCGGAAAAGAAGCCATGGAGCATGCGCTGTTTACAAACAAGTAGTAGTAGTCCACCACTGTTGTTGTTGTTGTTATGACGCATCTAGCAGCGGCGGCTGAGGTTAAAGGCTAGAGAGGCAGGGCTAATACGTCATTGTTTCAGAAAAATCCGTTATCGCCGTCCAGACGACTCCGGGCAATCTGGCGTTTTCGGATTTTCCCACTCTGGGACCCTTTTCCGAAAAAATACCGTTTTCACACCCCGAAAACTGGGTATGTCCGTCTGGACGCGAGGCCGATACGATAAAGTATTTATCTGGATTCGAGAAAAACGTATTCGAGAGGACAGGCCCTAAGAGGTGTTGGTAGACTGGTAGACCGTCAGACAGATCCTGTTTCCATACTCTATGCTAAGTCAAGCTACAGATGAGAGTGATAGTGATTTTCTTGTCAAACTTTCTGGAAGAGAGTGAAAAAGCGTAGATTTCTCAAAATGTCTAAGTTTTTATACAGTGGGTTTAATTTGCAAACAAAGTGCTCATACAGCTTTAAAAAAAAAATTAAAATGATGACGCTTCTTGAGACAAGGAATGCAGCTAAGCCTCACGTCCCAGCAGTGTTTGCTGCTCTTGAGGAAAGGACCTGAGGGGGAGGGTCCCATAACGAGGTTAGCGCTCTTCACTCTTTTCACTGTCGTCATGGTAACAATCAGGACTGCAGAGGGTAACAGACTTTTTCATAAGTACATTGCGAGCTGCTGCCCAGAGCAAAACACTCACTGTAGGTGATTATGTGAATACAACATCTGCACATCTGCTGTGTTACAAACTCTGGATGTGAACACGGCGGTAAACAAACATTTATTTTATTAACGGCAACCTGCTCTCCTCCAGATCACCTTATGTTTCGCGGAACACACAACATGGCACAAAATCAATCTGGAGAGACATCATTTACCAAAGAATGTTTCCAAATGTCAATGTAAAATGTCAAGCTCAAGTTTTCAATTTATTCAAATGCATTCAACTTCTCTTTCTGCGTGGGGTTGACTCACTTGTCTGCCTTTTTAAAGCTCTTTGTATGTAAGTACAGTAAGTGTGTGCGTCTGTGTGTGAAGCCTCACACGTGAAAGGCTGTGAAAAGAGCAGAGTCATTGTGTCCTCAGGTAGGAGTGTGTTTTAAAGCGAGGTGTCGCCCACCAGTTTCATTTCCAACTCACCCACTCACAATGCTTCAGCTTCAAAGCATTTCAGCAGAAACTCACCCTGTGTTGATAAAATGAAAGGGCTGTTATTTTTAGGTGCATTTAGATGGCAAAATTGCCTCAAGGTTAAAGAGACAAGATCTTCAACCAGGGGACTTTAGATTTGAGATTTGTACTTTGTACTGTGCAAGCAGCTGCCCACTGTAGAATGGTTACAGACCTGGAGAATCAATCAACCGATCCCAGTCGTAGGTGTGATTGAGAATGAGGACAGCAACTAACTTCATGACATACAGCAGCAGAAAAATGCCAACCAGGATGAATTAGGGATGCACCGATCCACATTTTTTCACTTCCGATCCGATCCCTATACCTGAATTTGGATCGGCCGATACCAATACTATTCCGATACCAGAGCTGTGTTTGCTTTAATATTATTATCATTATTGTTGATTATATATGAGGCTGAAATAAACTAAAGGCAAGTATGATATGTACGTATGTATGCATGTATGTTCCAAAAGGCAACTTGAGGTAAGTATAAGGTCAGAAAAGAAAGTCAGAAAAACAGGAAATCCTGTTAACAAGAAAAATCCCATTCTGAAAACAAATATGCAACTGTAAGGGTTTCAAATTTATTTTCATGTCAATATTTATTAAATTCCCAAAATGTCAAATATTTGAGTCTTGAAATATATATAAATAAGTGTAAAAATCTTACACACACAATATCAATAAAACAGTTTGCATCTGAACAGCACAAATCAAGTACACTGGCTCTTGTAGTATCAACAAATCAAGGTTTTAAAATGTCAATTATCTGAAATATAAGAAAAGTGCAATAACTGTAAACATTGCATGCACGCACGCACACACACACACACAAACACACTCGGTAATCCCTTTAGCTTTCACGTTGTCTGCCTGGAGTTTACCTTGTTTTTGGAATGACTCCAGAAGTGATTCCTGACAGCTCGCCTAAAAAATCCTCATGCTGTTTCGTGTGGTGCTTTTTAAAAATGTTAGATTGTGTTCGTAGTGATGTACGACGCGAGGGAGCTTCCGCGTCTCTGAATTACGGCTTTGCAAACATTGCTTTTTGCTGTCTTGCTCTGCGGTGTTTCCAGTGTAAAGTATTTCCACACAGCGGACATGTTGGCTAGCCACAACGCTGCTCAATGCTACCTGCTAGCTGTCCGCAAAATGTAGAATGGATTTCCTGAGCGGGGGCGTGTCTCATAACTCTGTGTCTCGTTGAGCCTCCGTTCAGAAAATCTATTCCACAGTTTGCAGCCAGCTAGCAGACTGGCTGGCAGGAATCACCTGTGGAGTCATTTCAGCAGACAACGTTAAAGCGCAGACATGGCTCATGGATATCGGAAATCTGCAGAAATTCCGATATGTGAATTACGCTGGTATCGGTCCCGATACCGATACTGTATCGGATCGGCCCCATCCCTAGGATGAATGGAACTGGCAGGACAAGTTATAAGTCAACTTACAGACATGACAACTGACACGCCAACGTATTTCTTTGATAAATGTTTAAATTGTCAATTTAACCGCTCCAAGCGACCACCAGTTTTTTAAACATGCATGTTTTGTGGCAAACCGTTTGCTTGTTTTTCCCGTCTAGAAGACAAGTTTTAGGGACAATCCAGTTTATTATATCAGAACTTCGAACTTAGGAAGCACTTAACAAACAAACAGTTGTGGATTTATGGATAACTGAGGCAACCCAATCCAGTTGCCACTTTAAGAATGCGGTAATACAAGGAGAGAGCATATTTGTGAGGGTCCTTTGTGAGCTACTTGTAACCTGTAAAAACAATTTTTCAAGTCAAGGTGCCATTTTTTCCCGGGCAGTTTGTTTTTTGTGTCTGAACAAAAGGCAACAGGTTTAAATTGTGTTGTTTTGTTGCCCCCTTGGCTTCTTTCTTCCCCTCATGCCTCTTGATCCTTGACCCAGATACCACTGTTTTGGACCTGAAAGAGCAATGTGACCCTCTAGGCATTTAATACTGATACCAGAGTCATATGGTGCGGAATAAAGATGCCAAGGCTCCTTGAGAGTCAGATGGGAACACATCCAGCTGCCTGAAGGTCTAGATCATTCCCTTGTTTATTACTTGCTTGGGTCAAATCTCTACAGTTTAAGTTTAAGAAGTGTAGAACTGATGACTACGGGAACAGACTGCAAAGTGGAATCTTAAAAAAAAAGGGATATGAAAAAGGATGAATTGCATGGCCTGTAAATATAATTATAATCTATAATAAATGACCAAAAGGAAACTCAAAATAATCAAACAAAACACAAAGGATAGGGAACGAAAGAATTCAACAATGTAGTGAAGTCAGAAATATGAGCATACATTTAGTTCATCACCCCACCACACACCTTTGTCAGCCCAAACAGTCTAAAATTGATTTAACCTCGTGATATCATACACTGTAAATAGAAACTTGTGTGGTTATGTGCTCTTGTACGACTCTCACATACAGGAGGAGGGAGAGGCAGAATTGGGACAGACAGACAACACCGCTGGTGTCGGCAGATAGGGAAAGAGGTACAGCTGCTTGCAACAATAACAGCAACATCCAAACAGTGGACTATTATTTGACATCTGTATTACATTCTCTGTGAATTTTCCTTTAATAACTGCATAAAAAAGTAAGTGATTTTATGTTTTGAGGATTTAAAAGGATTAGTACAGATTAGAGTGTTACTGGACAATATGGCAGTAGCCAATCCTGGCCCCAACAAGGAGTGGGAGGAATGGAAGAGAGAGATGAAGGTGAACAGGAAGATGAAATTGTGGAAGAGGGTGAGACGTTGGTCTAAAGCTGAAGAGGAAGAAAAGGAGGATAATGGAGAGGAAGAAGAGGCTGAGGACACGGACTGTGAAGAAGAGCAAGTAAGCGATGTTGAGGAGAGTGAGGTGGTGGATGAGGAAGAAGAAAAAGAGGTGAAGCAAGCAGAGGAACTGGAAGAAGGGGAACAAGGGGCAGAAAGGGAGGTTAAGGAGAACAAAAGGGGGGATGAGGAGGAAGACAATGATGCAAAGGAAGCTAAAGAAATGCAAGAAGAGCAGAAAGAAGGAGAAAATAAGGTAGAGAGGGAGGTTAAGGAGAAAGAGGAGGTGGATGATGAAGAGGGGGAGGAGGTAACAGAATTAGAAGAAGTGGAGGAAGAGCAGGGGGAAGTAGAAAATGAGGTGAATGAGGAAGTGGATGAGGAGGAAGACAGGCAGGTGAGGGAAGAAGAGCAGGTCAAGGAGAAAGAGGAGGTGGATGCTGAAGAGGGGAAGGGAGAAACAGAATCAGAAGAAGTGGAGGAAGAGCAGGGGGAAGTAGAAAATGAGGTGAATGAGGAAGTGGATGAGGAGGAAGACAGGCAGGTGAGGGAAGAAGAGCAGGTCAAGGAAAAGAGGAGGTGGATGCTGAAGAGAGGAAGGAGGTAACAGAATCAGAAGAAGTGGAGGAAGAGCAGGGGAAGTAGAAAATGAGGTGAATGAGGAAGTGGATGAGGAGGAAGACAGGCAGGTGAGGGAAGAAGAGCAGGTCAAGGAGAAAGAGGAGGTGGATGCTGAAGAGGGGAAGGAGGTAACAGAATCAGAAGAAGTGGAGGAAGAGCAGGGGGAAGTAGAAAATGAGGTGAATGAGGAAGTGGATGAGGAGGAAGACAGGCAGAGGAGGGAAGAAGAGCAGGTCAAGGAGGAAGAGGAGGTGGATGCTGAAGAGAGGAAGGAGGTAACAGAATCAGAAGAAGTGGAGGAAGAGCAGGGGGAAGTAGAAAATGAGGTGAATGAGGAAGTGGATGAGGAGGAAGACAGGCAGGTGAGGGAAGAAGAGCAGGTCAAGGAGAAAGAGGAGGTGGATGCTGAAGAGGGGAAGGAGGTAACAGAATCAGAAGAAGTGGAGGAAGAGCAGGGGGAAGTAGAAAATGAGTTGAATGAGGAAGTGGATGAGGAGGAAGACAGGCAGGTGAGGGAAGAAGAGCAGGTCAGGGAGGATGATGATGAAGAACAGCAGCAAATTGGACAGTATCACCTGGAAGAGCAATTCAGAGTTCAGGTGAAAACCGAGGATCAGCCGAGCACAAGTCAAGAAGACAAAACAGTCAATGAGACAGACTCAGTAGAATCCGATAACGAAGATTCTGACTCGACAGGATCTGAGGATGAATGTTGTAACTTTGAAAGACTAAATGAGGAAGAGAGACCTGTTGAGAAACAATGTGAGGATCCCGAGGAACCAAGATATCCTGATGAAAAGTCATGGAGCGTTGAAAATAGCAGCCCAGGAGAATGGACTTGGTCTGGAGATGAAAGTGAGAAGTTAACAGATGAACAGGAATCTTGGACAACTCAAGAAGAAGAGTTTCAAGAGGACTACGGAAAGCTTCAAGAGGAAGAGGAAGAGTATACAGATGAGGAAGCGGAACATTCAGCAGACGAGGATGTAGGTAATAATGACGAAGATGTGGTGAAGATTTACTGCAAAGCTAATTATGTCACAGTTGTATTCAACACCTTGACAGAGTTCAGGAACTCCTCTCTTCTCACTGACCTTACTTTGAGCACAGAGGATGGGAACAGTTTTTTTGTACACTCCCTTGTCCTGGCTGCTGTCAGCTCCCTTATCAGGGGAAGTCTCAGTAGAATCAATGTAAAAAACAGTAGATGTGATAAAAGAAAAGATGAAGGACTCCGCAGGTGGTCCCTGTCTCTGGGTCCAGAAGTGGATAATGTTGGATTAGAGGCAGTTGTGGAGTTTGCCTACACTGGTCTCATATCGTTTTTGAACAAGGACACTGTGCACCAGATTAAGACAGCAGCTCAAACATTGGGTGCCCCCAGGGTGCTGGATCTGTGCACAGAGGAAGAGGAAAAGTCCAGAAAAACTGGTGGTCAGAAGACAGAGGGAAGAATTTCGGCTGCAGAGCAAATGATGATCAGTCTTAAGTCCATCAAACAGCTATGGATGGACAGAGAGAGCTGTGACGTCATTCTGGAAGCTATCGGAGGATCGCTTCACAGTGAGTACACTGCCAACGAGTTGTACATTTATGTAAATGTAGTACAATAGCAGTCACTGTAGAGGCCACTATCCTTGGAACTGAAATTGTCATGTGAAGATATCTCATGAACTACTTAATAGTCTTTTAGTAAATTTGGTGGCCTTAAGTCTTTGCTTTTGGTAAGGATAATGCCACCATGTAGTCATTAAAAAAGCACTTGTGTTGCTTTCACCCAATGCTCCCAAAGGTGATTTAGTTGTGGTATTAATGTGTTTCTCATTTGGACAGTGTGAAACATAAATGAAATATTTTATTTCAAATATATGTTCGCTTTAACTTTGCAATTTTCAAATCGCAAGTTACAATAATGAACTGACTTACGTCTATGAGAAACATCTTGCATTATAGAGCCCTGTAAATGTTAGTTGTAATTACAATGGATTTATGTTGTACTTCAGTCCACAGAGTCATCCTGGCTGTGGGGAGTGACTACTTTCGCAGCATGTTCACCTTAGGGATGAGGGAGTCTCATCAGTCCTGTGTGACCCTTCCCTTCATATTGGCTTCAGAGCTGGAGCTTCTGATTGACTGCTCCTACAGTGGGGCTATCCCTCTCAGCTGGAAGTGTATCTTCGAGATCACCAGCACTGCTCTGCAGCTCCAGTACCAACCCGCCCTCTCCTTGTGCCTTGACTTCATGCATCAAGAAATAAATCCTCACTCCTGCCTGGATGTGGCATCTTTTGCTGAGGCCTACGAGATGGTGCAGCTTCTTGAAGTTGCAGACGATTTTGTCTTGCGGCAATTCCAAAAGGTGGCGTGCACCTCAAAGTTCAAGGATCTGCCAGCCAAAAAGCTCCTGAAATACCTGAAAAGTCACTCGCTTTATGTTCCATCTGAAATTGTTGTATTCAAAGCAGTGGTGGCATGGATCCAAGCAAAGCCTAAGACAAGGCTGAGGCTTACCAAAGACCTAATGAAAACCATCCATTTTCACCTGATGACATTCAAGGAATTCCATGAAGTCAAATCTCTGAACATGTGGTCTGATTACAGCCTTGAAAAGCTCTATGAAACAATTTTTGAGGAATTCTGCTCTAATGAGACTGACTACAGTCAGTGCCGCATCTATCTGCCGAAAGAGAGTCTGATCTTGATTGGAGGTGACCAGACCTGTGAAGACAAGGGTAGCCGCAGCATCAGCAGAGAACTCTGGTTTGGGAATTCATTAAGAAACCATCTAGGCATAAAAAAGGCCATGGAATGGAGAAAGTTGGGAGAGATGCCAGACCCAGCAAGGTACAGTCATGAGGTGTCTGTGCTCAGAGGACAACTGTACGTGTTTGGTGGCAAGAACTATTATGGCACCAACGACATCCTGAACTCTGTTTACAGGTGAGAGATGGTAATCTTAGATTCCAGCAAGAAACAACCATTTACAGTTTTAAAGGCACGTTTCAATGCGTTTATACTTTAATTGTCTCATTTTACCACATTTTAGGTATGACCCCCTTCAAAACAGCTGGGAAAGACTAGCTGAAATGCAAGAAAAGAGATGCTCTTTTTCCGTGGTTGTCCTGGATGAGAAGATATATGCCATTGGCGGATATTGTGAACCAGACTATTTAGAGAGTGTGGAACGATACTGCCCGGTTGCAAACTCTTGGAGGTACGTTGGAAGGGAAATTATTTTTCAAAGCAAAGTGTGCTGTAGTATAGGGTAGTCTACCCTCGTCTACCAACTTGGTGGCTCTTACCATATTGAGCAGATGTGTGGGCAGTAATGTTTGGCTGACCAGACATTATGATTTGCTTGACAAAAACTTTACATTACCTTTACATAAATGAATTAGAAAAATGAAGTCTACTGACCCCTAAATTCTGCTAGCTCCCTCCCTCCTGCCCAGAGGACACCAATGAACCATAGAATCATATGGGGGTCATATGGGGCATGATCTCAAAATAAATTCATTAAAGGCTTATCTTGTCTTATTTTTGCTTCATAATTACTGCCTCATTCAACAGTTTTTTTGCTAAACCATACAGGTTTACAGAACAGCTATTATAACCTCATACTTTCCATTTGCCATAAATTTTCATTTATGTGACATACTGTTCTCAGGCTAAACAAAGTTTATATTTTCATATATTAAAACATTGTCTTCTCTTATAGCTTCACCTCGCCCTTGGATATGCCTCTGAGTGCCCATGTAGCAAAAGTTTTCCAAGGACAGATCTTTGTCTCAGGAGGGCTAAGCAACCAGTACCAATGTCTTGCATCCATGTTTTTGTATCACCCCGAGACAGGAAGCACTTATTTAGAAAACATGGCTAAACCTCGAGCTTATCACTGCATGGAGACGCTGGGCAATTGTCTTTACGTAGCAGGTGGAATCGCCACAGACACTGTTGACCAGCTAGCTTGTGAGGTCTACAATCCAGAAGCTGACTCCTGGACTGCCTTTACATCACTGCCAGTGCCACATGTAGGAGCAGGAAGTGCAGTTTTGGAGGAAAAGTTTTATGTGCTTGGTGGATACAGCCGGGAGGACTTCAGTGACACGAAGATAGTCCATCGTTATGATCCCACTGCACAGAGATGGGAGAACATGGGCAAGATGCCTGGGCCGAATAATGACATACAAGCGGCTCTGCTGTGCTTGCCTTCACATTTCCGATTGTAAGACGTGGTGACAGGTACCAACGCTATCGTTGTTTTACATGGAATTTAATTCAACTTAATTTCAGGATACTTGCATGTTAGTAACAGTGGTATTTTTGTAATTTATTTGTAATTCACATTCTTCCATTGTTGACAAAGCAAGGATGTTTACAGTTTCACAATAACTGATATCATAATCGAGGTAAATATAGTATATGAGTTCAACATTCAGGCACGCCAAATGTAGGATACCTATGTAATTCTGATGCTCTTCAAATTAGTATTGCTATTCAAATTTTAGTTTTACAGTATTCAAACTGTGCTCATTACATACCTGCCAACTTTTCAGAAAACCTTGGTGTGAGATTTTTTCGGGGGTGACCAAAATTATGCCGCACGCAGCCACACAAGTTGGTGCCTCAGATATCAGAGAACTGGAATTCGTTTGATGTTGTACCCATGTTGTACCCTGCATTCTGGTGGTTTGTGGGGAGGCCCAAAGCCGCTGATAGGGGCAGCCTACTGGAGATCGACAATATTGGTTACATTCTGAGAAGCAGACATAGCTGAAGGTCCACCCCCAGGAAATTTTGGATTAAGTAGATGTGATTTCCTGCATTCTAGTGGATTTTGGGATGGTCTGCTAAAGATGTGCAATACAAGGTTAACAAGGTGCTCTCCTGCTGCTTGTTATGACAGATTTCACCACCCTAAATCATGTTCACACGCTCAAACAAATAATTTATTTCAAGATTTAAAGTTTAAGAGAGTGAGTACTCAATTGGACGACATTTCATTGTCACATACCTAGTCTCAGCTCAGATCAAGGACGGAATTTTGATTACAGAGGTGGGGGGGACACAGGTATAAGTAATTTTTTTGGCCTTTTGATGGCTTTATTTATAGAGACAGCTGTAGGGAGACAGTGATGGTGGGTGGAGAGAGAGGGAGAGGATGACACGCAGCAAAGGGCAGCGGGTCGGATCCGAACCCGCACCGCTGCAGCGACTCCGTATATGGGTCGCCAGCTCTACCGACTGAACTAACCGGCAGGCGCACCCTTTATACAATAGTAGTTCTTCTAGTTTTCCATTGCTACTTTTACGTTTACTGTTCCCTTTCTTGGTTTGACTGGTTGTAAAGCATGTAAATGTAAATATAGAAAAAACATTCTGGACACACGCACGCACGCACGCACGCACATGGACACCGATTCAAACGTGAATGCAAATGAAACCTCTGATATTACCTGGGCAACTCCAGCAGACCGGTGTGCGAGCAAGATGGAGTGACAGCGGGGACGGCCAATCACACAAGAAACGGCAGAGCCAATCGAGGAGCTTGTGGGCGGGTCTAAACTAAGGGAAACAGGCTCCAGCTTGAGCGGCCGTTTTCCTCTTGGTCCTAGTGCTTGACGAGTCTCTGTTTACTATAGCGTAACATTGTTTTTGGACGGTAAAAACTGCAGAGGACCGAAACGGCCCAAGATCGGATTTTTTTTGCGTGAGAAATTGCATATGTGGCGTGAGTGCGTGTGAAAACAGGCAAAACCGTGTGTCACACGGCGAAAGCGTGAGAGTTGGCAGTTCTGTCATTCCTGCAATAACAACCCTGAACACAGGAGGGAGCTACTCCCTCTTATGTTGGTGAACACATTTGTCATTGCAGAAGGTGCTCTGAGATGAACTGTCACTTCTCTGGCAACCAGTCCACTCACTGGCCATCCTCCAGTTCTCAAACCCAGCCCCTCCTGTGCTACTGATGCAGCCTGTTGCAGTTTTTAGTTACCAGAGACAGAAAAAATAGACAATGTAAGAAGTCTGTTTTGCCATTTATTGTTGTTATATTTTCAATAAACTTTACTTGAAAATGAACAGCATGCATTGGGTTGATTTTCAGATCGCTATTGTTGCATAAGCATCTTTCAATGCATTGTTTCCTAATCATTTACACAGGGAAGACAAGAAAACCACTGAAGGTCGTGTGTCCGTTCACGTTGTCAAACACTCTACCATTATCCCACAGTTCCATGTGCACCCTATCACCAGCAGCCAACTGAAGAACAGCAGAGTTACTGCTACTGTCTGAGCCGTCAGATGTAGGGCTATCGTAGGTCGAAATTTGAAGGATGCCATTTTTTGTTAAAATGGCCCCCATTACGTGAGTGTTGTAGCCATAGGTACTGAAGCTGAAGTAATAAAGACCGCTCACTGGTGCCGTGAAGATTCCTGGAAAAGAGCAAGCAGATACAAGATGTGTTACTGGAATTATAAGTAGATTTGAGTTTTATTTCTTTAAAGTTTCTCAAAGGCAGCTACTTTGGAGGCAAATCTAAACTAATGAATTATGGCTTTTCAGAACCTGGTTGAGCTAATATTATTAATTCATTAATGATAGAGGCTATAGGCTACAGTGGAATGCTATAATGTTATTTATTATTAAATTTTCTTAAACCCAATGTCACAAAAAATTCAGATTAATTGGCCCAGGCATTTAAGGTTTGAATCTTTGACTCTATCATTTAATCGATTGTTAATATATGAATTTTGATGATGCAACTTTAGACTCCAATCAGCACTATAAACACTGCAGACCCGAGTCACAGTATGAGAACAAATCTTTCTTCTTTGTTTGATCTCGTTTTAAATACCAGAAGCAGATGTCTGGGTTTTACAGCCTCAGGACATTTAGTGTCTACTAGTACTTTCAGCTATTATCTACAAGCACATCTCAAACAGGCACACACACACACACACACACACACACACACACACACACACACACACACAAGTGCGAGAGGGTCCATTACCTGTATTTTGGTCATAACCACTGCCAGTGTTTGAGAAGACCCTTTGGAAAACCAGGGTCTTCTCTGTGCAGGGTCCTTTATAAATCTCCCCAGAGTTTACGAAAAAGAGGCTGAGAACGCGATCTTAGGAGCACCTGGAGAGACATGAGGATGAATATAAAAGATGACAGAATGATAAAGGGTCCCTGAATTATTGATTACTTTAATATAAATTTAGAAATGAACACTCAGAGACAGTAGATTTTCTTCACAGTTTTATCATAATAAATGTTTAAAGTCATTTGTCTTTTCAGATTTAACACAGAAATTCAAATACTGTAAGTTTGATCATCTAACCTTCAGCACTGCTTTGTTTCAGCTTATCAATCTTCTCCTCTGTGGCCTTCAGTCTTTTTTGCAGGCCTGTACAAGTTGAAATAATTAATGAATGTGAAAAATGGTGGGAATATATGTGGTATAAAAACTCATCATCATAAATCTTGTACCTTCATTCTTTTCATTCAGTCTGTCCACTTCAGCTTTCTGTCTCGTCAGCGCGTCCACAGTCGCGTTGAGCCTGGCCTCCAGATCTTTAACATCATCCTCCCATCTGTCTACATATTTCAGTTTACCCTCCAAGTTTTTTATTAACTCCACTCTTTCTTTCAACCACTCACTAATATCCATGTCACCTCTCTGTCCGAACCCTGGCTCCGCCAAAAAGAGTCCCAGCAGAAGCAAAGCCCTGAATTCCATTTCCATCTCAAATTTGTAGTCTCTTGGATATTTTTCTTGCAGTTTGCAAAGGGTTGGTTTTTCCTCAGTGGCTTATATACCTGCTCTCCACTGAGTAGGGTTCTCCAGCGTCAGTGCGTAAGCAAATGTTGAGGCCCTCAGGGACCGCAGTTCTAGTCATGTCCCAACATGGCCTGTGAGTGAGGAATGTGACATACAAAGTGAAACATTTCTACACACTTTGTACAATGTAAACACAAGCATTTAATTAAATACCTACAGTAGTAACCTCACCTTACATCCAAGGCCATTTCTTGCTATGTTGTGGAATTGAAGGTTATATTATTATGCTATATTAGAGAGCAGGGCAACGTAACTAGCTCTGAGCCAGGTTAATCTGGGCTTGTGATGATTTGCATCTGGCAAATTGTATCTTTATTTTTACAATTTTGTGTTAAATCACATTTATTCATGCTGGTTGATGGGATTGCAAGTTGGTAGTATTTTCGGCAATATAAAAAAATGTCTTACTCCAGTTCATGGATCTGTTGCAGTTCATAACAGGGGCAGGGTGTTTCGTGGGCATTGATGTGCTTCAACTTGATTGTTTCTCGTAGGATGATTGCTCTGCTGAAGTGATTTGCCAAGAAGTGGGTCTGCAAAAACCTTCAAATTCACTGTGAACAGTTGTACTGATACAGGAAGGGATCAGTCCACAATGACAGGCTGTCGTTTCCACCACCTTGCACAAACCCAGGTTTTAGGTGTAGCTTCATTTTGAAGAAACAAATTACAAAATATATCTTTATTTGTGTGCAATATTAGAATGTTCTACCTCTGGTGCCACTAGTGGTACTTTACAAGATTACACCCCCACATATTTTTCCTCTTACAAACACTTTCTATAACATTTCACTCCACGGTAGACAGGTATTAAAAAGAAACAAGAGCCGTAGAAATTTCACCCGAACGTGTGCATAAGACATAATAATAGACACTTAGTGGAATTGCCATCTTTTAAATATTAATATAGTGTTTTACAAATGTTAAAAGGTCATTGAACCTTCAAAGACAAGGACTGGGTTTCTGTAGTTCTGTAGTTCCCCTTTAGAAACATGTTTACAGGCCTCTCTATCAGGAAATGAAAACAATACATTGTCTGGTGTTCACAGGGATGCAAAATCATACGCAAAGAGCCACCAGACCGTGGCTATGTCCATGGCAGTATGATTCAAGACAGAGATGGGAGAGATTATGTTTTATTTGAATGACTGCAAACCACAACATGCACTTATTTGACTTGTGTTATATTCCCATAATAGGTCAAGTAAGGTCAGTGTTTGTTCCTCTGTGCTGTTTTGTTCATGCAAATGTGATGGTTTTTCCAGGAGCCTACCTGTACCACACAGTGACTGCCCCAGTGCTCGGTACATGGCCTGGCTGGATTCTCTGACCTGTGGCCTCCACTGCCCAGTGGTGCTTATACGATGAAACCAGCAGAACGTCCTCACCTACTACTGCCAGTGAATGTTACAATGATGGAGATTTTGAGAAAAAAAAAAAAAACCTGGAGCAAAGGTTAAAAGAATGTGTGCAACTGGTGCCAATTGAGGGTTAACAAACTTGATAGAGTAAGAGCTCTTATAGACAGTAATAGGAAAATAACACCATTGCAGTGACTTGTATCACTGTCATCAAGATCATCTTCAGGATTATGTGGATACCAACACCATCATAGTCAATTTCCTTCAGCAACAGCTGGCGGTGCAAGCTAATTCAATATGTTCCCTATAAGTGGCTAGATTCTTTAAAACTGAATTAATCTGTATTATTTGTACAGGCTGTGTTAATATGAATAATTAAATTACAACTATGCTACAGGGAATGGACTTCTATTCTTGTCAACAATGAACAGTATTCCTGGCGATGATAAAGAAACCTCTGCATTGTAATATTCAAATGCTGATGTCAGTGTGGCAACCTGAGTGTATTAACAGGGTCAACATACTGTTATGATCAGTCTTCATCAGCACAGAGGGGAGAGACATCAGAGCGGAGTGAAGCCGAGGAGAGCAGAAGATGTAAGTTAAGACTCTGCTGTATTATTTGAGATCTAATGTTTGTGTGTATACAGAGGTGGAATGTTTATCTATTCATGCATGTAAAGTCTAATTTATTTAATGTTGGAAATTCTTCTTTTCAGGAATATCCTCCTCCTCCATACTACTCCTAATAATAATAATGATAATAATAATAATAATAATAATAATAATAATAATAATAATAATAATAAGTATAAATGTCAGAGACAGTATTAGGTCATAGAGTTGCAAGCCACAATTACAACATTATAAAGTTGTCATTAAGAACATGTTACATTTTTAAAATAAATATAAATATAATTACATTATTGATTTTAATAGAATGTTTTCATATTTTTTTACCTTTGGCATTATTTGTATAATTATTTTTTTGACTCAGGGCTTCATCATACTCATTCAATAAGCTAAATAATAAAGGTGTGAACAGCAAGCTTTATTTCAGAAAATAAATTAAAACAGTTATCCATTCAAGACAAAGAACTCCAGTCCAATATAAGGTATATATAAAGATTTATATACACAAAATCTTAAAACCCAGCTCATTATTATGAGGTATTTCACCGTACTTTCATAACAACTTAAAATTAGAAAATAAAATAATGGTTTTATTTAATTCCAGAAGTTTATATTTCATTTATTTTCTGTTTTGCCTTTTATTTTATCAACACCATCTCCCCAACGACTGCTTTATCAGGTTAAGACCAGAGCAGTTATTTCATAATGTTTCATTGAGTAATGCAATATATAATTTTAAATACTTTGGGTATCTAATATATTATTGAAGGTATTAGTGAAGGTGTGCTTGACGTTACATGAGTTATGATGTTAAAATAAGCCTAACACAAACTGACAAACAAAGAAACTAAACTGAAAAAAAAAAAAAACCCATGTGAAATTGCCAGAAGAAGAAAGGCACACACAGACGGAAATCTTGAATTAAGTTATTTATTTGCACCAAACTGGCCCTCTTGTTGTGTGACGGCCAGTTTCTGTGCCATAATGATACACACCTGTATAGTACATGACAAGGTGCAACAGTGCACACTGGTGTTGAGAAAAGGTAACTGTAACCAGAGTTACCTTTTGTCAGGGTATTTTACCTTCAACAGGAAGCGTTAGTTATTATGATGTTGAAATAACAACACTCGAAAAATAATTAATACTCTGGACAGGAAATATCTCAGGAATAGCAATCTGACTATTTTTCTTCTCTGACAGTCAATTTCTGTTTGCTTACATGAGGATAAAACAAACAAATATATATACTTAGGGCGATGTCCTTTCTTAGGCTTCCTTCCATTTTAGTGTGAATTTCCCTTTTTCTGTCACCAACCCTTTACTGCTGCTCAAGGAAACACTTGCAACAAGGTGCCCACCTGATTTGGCCTCTTTCACTGTACATGTGCATGTACAAGTGAGTATTGCATTCAAATTCTTTAACATGAGCCCATGGCTGTTGCCCTGCATTCATACCCTCCAGTTGGGTCTAGGCCCACTGCTTTACATTATCTGTATTTGACTCACCTAACACATTTTCATTGGCTAAAGTTGCACTTCTTAATGTGAACAACTGATAATGACCGCCTAAACTTTAAGTCCAGAGAGAGTTAGGACATGTACGAGTTTCACTCTATTTCCCTAAACCTGAAGAAAAGTTGTTAAGATCATTGTGTTTGGTTCACTGCACACTAAAATATCCCTTTCATCCAACAGAGCAAAAATGCAGTGGAGTCTGTTTCTGCTCATTCTGATGGGTAAGTGGATCATCTTACCAGCTCTACTGCAGTATACCTGTTTTTAGCTGTGAATTAACACAACTTGATCTGGAGTCACGAAACTGTTAGACTACTAACAGCACAAAACAGTGACACACATAATCTGATTTTAATTTATTAATCAGATTCTTGTTGTCAGCACCAATACTGAACAATATTTTTGTCTGTTTTTAGGTCAGTGTTCCTTCTTCACATGTCGCCTCTATGGGTACCACTTTATTGAAGAGGAAAAGACCTGGGAAGAAGCCCAGGCCTATTGCAGAGAGGAATACACTGACCTGGCCACAGTGTACGACATGACAGACATGGAGAGACTCCGTTACTGTACTGATGAAAAACACGATGCCTGGATTGGGCTGTACAACATCCCAGGAGAAGGAAACAAGGAGTGGCACTGGTCTCTGCCAGGAGTGGAGTATTCGGAGACAGAGACAGTGTGGGATAAAAAGGAGCCAAAAGATTTTGGCAAAAATGAAAACTGTGCGTTGAAGAAGAAGAACAGTGATAAATGGAATGATGTTCCTTGTACTGATAAATATATGTTTATCTGCTACGACGGTGAGAGTTTATAGATATTAATACTATTGTGTGTTTACAGCATCATCCAGTCTAACAATGGTTTTCTAAGTCGACATATACCTCATTTATATGGAATGAAGTAAACACATGGTAGATTACTGTGGTGTATATATAAAACGTGAATTCTCATCAAGTATGGGCCTACCTTATTATGCCAAACACACTTTTACCAAATAAATATCTGAAGTGGAATCGTGTTAATTTATCTCACATTAGCATTTCACCAGTTTTAAGTAAGAAAAAAACAATATTTCATGAGACTGAATGACTTGATAAGATGTGTATTTCCTTAAAACATACATTATAGGGTGTATATGGTGATATACGGTATATTTATATATATATTTAAAATAAATAACTTTCTCTGTTTATTCCACAGAAACAAATATATCCAGAAAAAAATTCCATTTGATTAACGATACGATGAGCTGGCCCAAAGCTCAGAACTACTGCAGAGAAAATCACACCGACCTGGTCAGTGGACTCAATCAGTTAAATGACACCGATCTCAAGGAACAAATTCATTCTTATGATGTGTGGATCGGCCTGTTCAGAGACACCTGGAGGTGGTCAGATGGGAGTCATTTCTCTTTCAGAAACTGGGATCTGAAGTTATTTAAAGATGACGACAGCAAGAAATGTGCTATGACTAAGTTAGATGGAACTGGAAAATGGGACTCTGATGATTGTAATACAACAAAACCCTTCTTCTGCTATGAAGGTGAGTTTTACAAAGGTCTGCCTCAAATGTTTTCTCCTATAAGAGCAGCACTGGAATCAGTCGGAAGATCCCTCTCTCAGTTTCTCTCAGTCTCTCCACATTGTCACCAAACATACAAGCAGTGATTTAAACCTGGAATCAGTCTTGAAAATCCACATTGGATCTCAGTGTTCCCAACAATTAACTATAACAAAGCTGCTCATATGATCCTGTGTTTGTTTTAATTCCTTCCATGACAGATGAAGTGATCCTGATCCAAGAGAGTAAGACCTGGGAGGAGGCCTTGAATTACTGTACAGAGAACTACCGTGACCTGGTGTCCATCACTAACCCTCATCAGCAGAGATGGGTCCAAGAGAAAGCCAAGAACGCTTCAACTTCTCATGTCTGGCTGGGACTGCGCTACACCTGCTCTCTGGATTTGTGGTTCTGGGTCAGTGACGAGCTGGTCTGCTATAACAACTGGAACTCACCTGCAACCACTGATAACTGTTACAGCGCTGCAGCCATGGACAAAGGAGGACGGCATGAGTGGTTCGAAAAAGCTGATACTGAGAAGTTTAATTTCATCTGTGCTTTATAGTAAGTTTTAAAACCACCCTAACCACCTTATATTTCTGGTGCATTTTTCTGCAACAAGCTTATACAAAACTAACAGTGTGTTAGTGTCTATGCAAATCTTACTGTCTTATCTTAGTGTATGTAAAATAAATCTGTACTGTTTTGCTTATTGCACTCACAAAATGCTGATGATGTTTTGGTTAAGATCAGGTGATGGTTATAATGTATAAAAACATATTTTTGCTGTGATAACATTTTGGAGTTTTATGTAAATGGTTGATTGATTTTCTCTGATGCTGACTAAACTGATAAACCGTGATGTCAGCATATATTTCATTGGCCTGATAGAAATGTAATATTTACAAAAATGGAGCCTCTTTTTGTGTAAAAACATAGATCATAATGTGTAAAAGGACTCTTCAAATTAAAAATCAGAATATCTTCATAGAATTTTAGTGAAGTGTTTTAAAACCATTATGTCCTCTAAAATCTTTGAGTTCACAACTACATAGGGATTTCTCCATGGGTGTCATCCTTATGTGTTTGAGGTCACTAACAGACTGAAGTTGGCTTTTTTAACAATTCAATGGACAGCTTGTCAAAATAGTCAAAACCTCTAGTGGGAAGTCTGAGAAGTTATATGGGAATGTTTATGTTGGTGATATCTATTAACACTAGAGGGCGCACATGAACCAGCTGTCTGCTGCCTGCAGCCACTGGAAACAGGTTGATTTGCTCACGGTGATGGTCCTGAATGAGTTTATATTTCTTGTTGACTTTATGTGAGGAAACTAGTTGTTAATAATTTAATTAATATAACTAAAACCCCATTACACATATTGGAAACTTTACTGTCCCTATTTGTTGAAATATGTCTTTATGTGTACACAATACTTTTACTGTATTGATATTTTAATTTAATAAATCTAATAACAATACATTGGCACTCTTTTTCGAGAATGTGTACTGAGAAGAACAGTTGAAAAAAAAAAGTACTTTAAATAGCTCTCTGGTAGACAAACTACGTGCTTATCAGATGATAACAATACAGCTACATCTACAATGAGGTAATCTTTGCCAACATGTCAGCCATGCTGTTTATTTAGCTTCAATAAGCTTAAAATGTGCATGTTCAGCTGACCTGCTGTGCACTGACTTAAAGGCTCTTTAAATGTAATACAAGGAGTTTTTAATTGGTTATAAAATTTAATACTGATGCCTCTATATGACTTACATAGATAAGCTATTTCTATATACCGTATTTTCCGGACTATAAATCGCTCCGGAGTATAAGCTGCATCAGTCAAAAAATGCCTCATGAAGAGGAAAAAAACATATATAAGTCGCACTGGACTATAAGTTGCATTTATTTAGAAATGTATTTCACAAAATCCATGACCAAGAACAGACAGAGACTATGTAACTGGAGACATAGAGGCCAAAAAGATTGAGAATTCTACCGGGAATGTTAATAAGGACGAAGAAGTGAAATGAGGTGAGCTGGGCGATATGAAGGCGGCCAATTTACAAAAGATTCACTGAACAAAAATGCTGATGTGGTACATGAAAATGTAGCTCAAAATGTGGAGAATCAATGCAATCAGGCATTTTGGTCGATGTCAAAGGCAAACGCTGGCAGCAGAGCAAATACTCGGGAGGCTACCTTATTTAGAAATGTATTTTACAGCATCCAAGACCAAGTCCAACAGGCAAGTTACCGGTAGCAAGTTCACCATCCATTAAATTCTTCGTACTCCGTGTCGCTTCAGAACATAGTTGTATATATAACGGCTCTGGTTGTCACAAGCCTAGAGCGCCTTCTCGCGGCTGTGGACGGTAATGTTTAGGCTACTCCTCGTTTCATGTCGGAATTATTATTCAAAAACATGTTAAATTTCATATACAAGTCGCACCTGACTATAAGTCGCAGGACCAGCCAAACTATGAAAAAAGTGTGACTTACAGTCCGGAAAATACGGTAGTTATTCTTAATGTCTGCCACTGGGTCAGATTCCCCTTGAAATCAATGAAACAAGGTGGTTTAAACACTGCTGCTTTTTCCCACAGAGTCTGCCAGAATCAACATAAAAAACTTTTTTTTAAAATTAATCCAGCAATTGTCAGCAAATATAATTTAATAATAATTTAGCTGAGGTTTATCAACTCAGCCAAGACCATCGGTTACAAGCAAAAGCAAGAAAAGAAGGCTGATATGCTGTTAGGCTGCAGACTCAAAGAGAATTAGATGATGTAATAATGTAGAAAGAGATGCCTAGTGGTTATACAGACAGGGACGTGTCAAAGGAGTGGCCTATAGGGCATCACAGGCCACCCCTGACACTTGATTGGCCATCCCAGGTGCCATCCCATTGTCCTAAACTATGATTTGCTATGTTCCCAATCAGAGGTTGGACCTTGAACATGTAATGTTCTGTCACTGGTTATTGTAAATGTACGTCTGCTGTCAGACTTTATCTTCAGTCTTCAGTTTGCGTTACCTTTTATTTTGGCAGGCAGCTGCGGTTTTGTAAGCCCAACCTTTTCAAGGTTCCAGCATGTGAGGCTCATATGACTCATACCAGGGTTCATTACATCCAGTCCCAAATCGATGATAGCTGATAGCTGATGTTTCTCACGTGGATTTTCAGTAGCTTGAAATTTGAGTACAATAACTCCAAAAAACAGAAGTGCTGAATATTTCACCTCAGAATAGTTCTCTTGTCAGTCAAAGACTCTCTGTAACAGAAATTTGTGCGGACACAACATTGCACATAGCAGTCAGTAGATGTTTGATGTGTTGCCAACATTTTATTTAAAGGAATAGTTCAACATTTTGGCATATACGCTTATTTGAAAGTTACTTGAAATACTTTCCTAGGACTAGGAGTTCTGTTTCCACTGCAGGGACCAGGGTTTGTATTAAGTTCTGGGGACATTATTTTACCGACAAAAAAGTTCCTGTTTGGGGCTGTACTTTCTAAAAGCACAGGGACTTTGGTTGTGGGGCTTGTAGCGCTGAACCTTTCTGATTGGTTGACTACTCACAGTGTTTTATTTAAGCCACCACTTAAAACTGCATCCATCAACACGGAGTTAAAGAAAGCATACAACAGATGAAGAGCAAAAATGACTAAAAATAGCCATCTTTTTTTTCATACGTCAGCGGACTAATTTGCCTTATGTTTGCAGGTCTTTAGTCCTCGGTGGAAACACAGACAGCGATGAGCTGAAGGAACCTTTTAATTCCTTAAAAAGTAGTTCCTGAGACTAAAAGTTCCCGGTACTTTGGGCGGAGACGCAGCTTTAGATGAGAAGATCAATACCAGCCTTATAACTGTTTGTGAACTATGAAGCTACAGCCAGGAGACAGTTAGCATAAGCTTAGCCAAGAATAAGCACTCGTTCCCCTTCTTTCCAGTCTTTGTGCTAAGCTAAGCTAATTGTCTTCTGGCTGCAGCCAATAAAGTTAAAAACATATTTGCCAAAATGTCCAACTATCCTATCCTCTAATTTTTAAGTGTGCGGGTACAGCATATGCTTAATATAGTGCCTTCAAATACTTCTGTGAACAAAGAAATGCCTTCATAGTATATACTTGTTGCTAAAAATTTCACAATGCAATGCAATGCTTTGGCTCGGTAGATATGTAAATTACTTAAGTAAAATCAGGCAAAAGGAAGCGACCGCCAGATTATGTGTCTCTGAGCTCATTAGTCATATGTAGAGGTGTCGGCTGATTCAGGCATTATGACAATGATGATGATAAAAAGTGACGCACGAGGACGCTCACACAGATAAATGCCATCATCATTATCATCGAGTGTTGTTTTTTTTTGGTTTACAAATAGTGGCAGTCGGTGATGATTCACTGGGGCTCGTCAGTGTTTCATCCAACTGCTACAAAATAAAAGCCCCCTTACTGTAAATGTGGAGGTTGGGTTTTTAGAAAAGGCTCTTAGACTTAAATAAAAAAATGTAATATTTTTCATACTTTTTTAACAGCTTCTAGCAAACGATATGTATATTGCATGTGTCTTTTTTCATACTCTCATTATTATCTGCATACACATTTATGTGTTTAATTAGTTTCATTGCAGGAAGAGTGCGCATTGTCTGACCCGCAGGGGGAGAGCGATGCAGACGCTGATATAGAGGATACAGATTGCAGGTTCGAGGTGCACAAACATACACGTACATATTCACACGAGGTATCTTTTTTTGCTTGTAGTTCTTCCCTTGAAGTCCTCTGACCATGTGCCTTTAACCTGATTGGTGCAGACTCCAGGAGCCAGGTTCTCTCCAGCGAATCAGCTTGCGGAGATGCAAGCGCCCGCGGGTAGCGCGGCAAGACACCACGGAGAGTGAAGACGACGGCGGGCGTAGCCACAGTAGTGATGGGAATTCCGGCTCTTTTTAGAGAACCGGCTCCTTTGGCTCGGCTCACTAAAAAGAGCCGGCTCTTTCGGCTCCCAAGTGGCTCCTCATATTTTTTTGTTGCTTAAATTAATTTATTACCAAATTATGTGTAAAATGAATATCTAATGTAAATACATACATTATTTCAAATGTTTAGTATTTATATGGATTTATTAATATACTCAACATGGAACAGAATGCTACAAAAATAAATTATAAAACACCAAAATAAAGACCCATCTTAATTAGACAAAAAGCTGCTTGATATGAAATGTTTAACTTTGCACAGTGTACACACATGATAAAAAGTGACGCACGAGGACACTCACACAGACAAATGCCATCATCATTATCATCGAGCGCCTTTGAACTATCACATCAAAATGTGTCCAAACTTTACTACGTTTCCTGTCACTCATTTTCCTCACCCTTTCCAGTGTGTAGTCTCTGTCTATATAGCGCCAAGGTCTCTCGCTCTCACGTCTCCCTCCCACCTGTTCACATGCTCACTGTGCCGTGTGTGGCTGTAACCCCTCGCTCCCCCCTCCTGCTCAGTGTAGATACACAGATGCTGCCACACATCTTGACCAATCACGCAGCTTTAACAGGAAAAAACGTGGAAATCCGGAAAAAAAATCCGGATCTGGCTCCCAATCAGGAGCCGGCTCCCGTCGTTCACTTCAAAGAGCTGGATCGTTTGCGACCGACCCATCACTAAGCCACAGATCACATCGCTGGAACCTCAGGCACAGTCCGGACAGAGCACACAGCAGGACCACTCTGGAGGTCAGGCCCAGTCCTCTGAAATGACAGGACAGGAGGATCACTTGGTGTTGTTGAAGTGGCGGCCAAGGATTTGCAGTAGGTGGATTTAGATATTTCAACAGTGCATCTGAAGAGAGAAGAGGAGTAAGTGACACCGTTGGGTGTTACAGCCTAATAATAAAAGAAATGATTCCAAGAATAAAATTACATGATAAAATGGAAAAACCTAAGAGATGCATTACTTTCACTGTACTGTACATGAATGATATACAGTGCATTTTTTTAAATATGCAAATTAGATTAGATCTAATCTTATTGTCATTACGGTGAAATGCTGATTAGCAGAATGCAAAGAAGCAGTAACTGCAGTATAATATAACATATGGGAATGTATTAACATTAATGATGTGCACTTTAACATGGATGTAAAGTTTAACACTATAAACACACTTACAATACTGAACTGTAACACAACAAACAACAAGGCTTACAACTCTTATATATAAAGGTGTGTGAAAGGAATAGCATTTGACTGACTGTTACAAGCAGAGTAAATGTTAAAAATAAAAATGTAGACAAATGTAAACACCTGTTGAATAGATCTAATCTTTACAAATGTCCCTGAGAAATAGAAGGTGGGAGTATTATATATATTATTGGCCCCTCAATAACACGAACTGAGGTTAAAATGAGCTAACGCTATTTATTGATTAGCAAACCGTGTCAGGCTAAAGGTTACTATCGTTCTGCAACAGAC